AATGACACTGTTCTTGAAGCTCAGCAGAGGATAAGAAACGAGCCACCGCAATTTGATGTCAGTAATGCAATTGATCGCTACATGCAGTCGAATAACCGGCTGCTGATATTGGTATGATTTTCAATTATTTTTCCTGAATGAGAGACATGCATACATTTGTAATTTTTTGTTATCAATTTAAACCATTGAACGTATAATTTATTACACCACAGGGTTTCAATGGGGTGCTGACAGAAATGGTGGATAACCGTGCAAGAAGAGGTCGTGATCAGGTTAAAGATATGGAACTTAAGCTGCATCCCGTTTTGAATGGACCTCTAGCCGCATTGTGTAGGGATCCAAAGACAACGATCATTATTCTTAGTGGAAGTGACAGAACTGACTTAGATGCTGTAATGCAACTCTCTCTTTGTCTCCCCTCACCTTAAATATATCATTATTCTTAATTAAGTCTCAACAAGTGCCATTTTGCAGAACTTTAGTAAGTACAACATGTGGTTGGCAGCAGAACACGGAATGTTTCTTCGATCTACAAATGGAGAGTGGATGACTACAATGCCCGAGCTCCTAAACATGGATTGGGTTGACAGTGTAAAGGTATGAGGAATGCATCTATGTTATAGACTATAGTGTTATACACACTCACACACACATATATTAGGCCATCCACGACCTAGTCAATAAGCTCAAATATTAACGTAAATACGAGAATTTATTCATTCTGTTCCGATTTTGTGCATTCCAATATGGACCTAATATGGAGTAAATGGGCTCAAAGTTTAGTTTTTTGACATATTCACCCATTAGAATGCAAGTGGTGTCGTGTCGTCTTTATGACTTTATATGAAAGCTGAATTATTGATAATACAAGCAACAAATTTCTGCAGCATGTATTTGAGTATTTCACCGAAAGAACACCTAGATCTCATTTTGAGATGCGTGAAACTTCTCTTGTTTGGAACTACAAGTATTCGGGTAAGTACTGAATCTTTTAACTCTTTTTTTCTTGTTCTGGACCATTTTCCGTGCGACCATGTCTGCTTACCTTGTGATTGTTTCCTTGATGGTTTAACTTTCAGATGTTGAGTTTGGAAGGTTGCAGGCTAGAGATATGCTACAGCATCTTTGGACAGGCCCAATATCTAATTCTTCTGTAGATATTGTTCAAGGAGAACATACTGTTGAGGTTCGAGCCGTTGGTGTTACCAAGGTGACGTCATCTCCACCCCCTAAAAATGATATTTTGTCTTTTCAATTGCATCAAACATAGCTCAATTGGTTGGCAGAGGGTTTACAGGATTTAATTCTGGGTGATATCAACTTTTCTAAGGAAAGTCATCTTTATATTAGTACAGAACTCATACTAATATAAAACTAGATTGTTATTATTAGTACAGAACTCATACTAGTATCAACTAGATTGTGGTTATAATTCAATAAAACTAACAATAAACTATGAGATTAGTTTTGATACTATCATGGCCCTTGACACAAATTGTGATTGATTGTGCCACAGGGAGCAGCAATTGATCGTATACTCGGGGAGATAGTTCACAGTGAAGCCATCACCATTCCAATTGATTATGTTCTCTGCATGGGGCATTTTATTGGAAAGGTAATTAGACTTCTTCTGTTTTACTTTCCATAATTATTTATGTGTCTTTTCATTTCTTTGGAACTAACTAGGCAGGCTGTACTGTGGCTTGCTTTCTGTTACTTCACAGGATGAGGATGTGTACCGGTTTTTTGAGCCAGACCTTCCTTGTGATGCCATGGGAGTTCCAAGGACCAAGTTAGGTGATGCAATGAAGGCAGGAGCAGAGCGGAGGGGAGCGCCAAAGAATTCGTCAAACAGGAGTACTAAGTCGGCATCAATCTCTGAAAAAGCAACACAAAACCACCACCACCCATCAGGGAATGGACGACGCGAGCCCCCCGAAAATGCTTCATGGAATGTGTTGGATCTCAAGAAGGAGAATTACTTCTCATGTGCAGTTGGCCGGACTCCTACAGATGCTCGATATCGCATGAAGAGCTCAGGCGATGTCGCAAAATTTCTAACTGACCTGGCTGCAGCATCAGTCCCGCCAACACCGCTCTGATTCTACATTAAGGGACTGATGAATTATTCAAAGCTTCTGAATGTCATCCTCCTCTTCCTCCGCGTTATCAACCATCAAATCTCTCTAGGGTGTTTGCTTTGTGAAGTTTAGTTTTAAGACTTGGCAACAATGTTTGAACCTATTTTCTAGAATTAATGCAGTGAGTTTGTGCTGTGTGTTTATATGTTTGTGCTTGCTGCCATTTTGTGGCAATATGATAAGCCTTCCATTGAATGAAGTTGAGCGCGCTCTTCGAAATGGCATTATACTAGTGCAAATTAAGCTGTGCGCGCACTTCGAATTTAGCTTCTGAGAATCTAGTCTGTTCCATTTTTATGCACAGGCATCATGAAACTTTCTTAGGCTTTTGGAATCTAATAACTTTTCTTAACCTTAAGAATGCATATGAAATTTATGTGGACAAGAATCCTAAGTGCTTATGCTTATCATGGGTTAACACCATGGTGTACATGGTGTAATCTATTAGTATTTGTGAGTTCTGACTGAAAACTTGCTTATTTTATCATCAATTCTTCATGTAAACTATGAAAACTACATCTTTCCACGGTACCCAACAACAAAACAGTATGAATGTACATATTTTATTTAGCTAGTGTCCATTCCTATAACTTAGTCCATTATATTTTTTTGAAATAATCATCGAATCAAGATTCTGTTCTCCTTTATCACAATTGTTAGTGATGAAGAGTGCTTACGGAAGTGTAATGTTCTACATTGGGCAAAAAGAATTGGAGATGCAACATTAGATGAACCGTATAGTTGCTCTGTGCCAACAGAAATGTAAGGTTATGCAAGAAAAATTCAACGAAAAACTGGAGCAGGTGCATACTGCACTGCATACCAGAAGATGCTAAAAGATGCAAAATGATGGAGCAGGAGATTCAGAACCTTTCCAAGGACAAGCAGGAGCTACAAGACAAGTTTGCTGAGAAATCCAGGTTAGTTTATGAAAAAACCTGGTCACTATTCTGGATGTTTCAAATATGTCTAATGACCGTTTTTACCTTAAAAATGTTATGTAATATATGGTACTTGATAAGATGCCAGATTGCATATTCTTTTCATACCTACCAGGCAAAAAAGAAAACTTGATGAAATGTATGATCAGTTGAGAAACGGACACGAATCAGTAAAACGTTCAGCTATTCAACCAGCCAACAATTTCTTCTCAACAACCGAGCCCGATTTGTTCTCAAATACTGCTAGTACGATGGATAATAGAGACCCTCTTAGAAAAGGTAACCCTGTTTTTAATTATACAACTCATTAATGAAGAGTATTCTAATTGGCCAGGAGAACAGGTTGCTTTTATTGTTTTCAAATTTGAGCAGTAGTTGGAATGTTTAGTTAACTGTTATCACTAGCGCGAATCATTTAATGAACAGGTTGAGTGTGCATTTTTTATTTGTTTTTTGAAATTTATGTGACAGTTGGAGCATTTATAAGGAAAAAATAGTTGATGTGATCTGTGTAATAAGTTAATGATTATATATAACAGCCTGAATCTTTTAAAGAACCGCTTGCCTCTATATTTTTTCTCAAATTTGAGTAGGAGTTGTAGCATTTATGCAAAATATTAGTTGATGACTTATTGCATATTGGTTGGTTGCCACTCCTAAAACTTCAGGGCCAAGAGAAGATATGTGGCATCCCACAACACAGACCAATTCGAATTCCGGACATTTTGATATGTCTAACGCTTCACCTATAAAGCAATCCGAACTTCAAATGGATGCTGCTGGGAACAAGAGAATGGGCAGTACGCGTTCTGCTTTCGGCGGTGGAATGGGAGCTGGTGCTGGAAACCCCTCAATGACGATCAGGAACCTCATCCTCTCACCCATCAAGAGGCCTCAGCTTTCTCGCGGCCAGCCCCCAATGTTTACGTAAGCCCCTCAAATGTACCTGTCCTTTTTTACTTCTGGACTTCCTGATTTCTCACACCCTCTTTGCTCTTTCCCACAGCTTGTAGACTTGATGATGCAATGTTGCCTTTTTAGCGGGAAAACACCACTGACTTCATATGTTAGCATTATAAGGTTTTTACTCTTCTGCTACTTCTACCACAAATTGTAATTCCATGGACTAAATGACACATAAAGAGTTGATGCAATCTACCAAAGATAGCTATGTAAGGGTCTCAAATACCTATATAGGCAGGGGCCGAGCTTGGAGGCCCATCAAGGCCCCGGTCCACTCCAAACTTAAAAAGTACTTTTATTTTTATTGTAAAAATTCTGTAAAAATTTTCCAAAAATATTCTTTGTACCGGCTTAATCTGACTCATTGCCTTGAATCCGCCCCTGTATATAGGGGCACTTCGTTTATCTTTTTTATAACGTTTTGGGAAAACAACGTACTGCATGCTATGAAAATGCGGTTATTGAATAAAGAGGATGCTTAATGATGAAGCTAGGGTGCACATAGGCTGGTGCACCTGATTCTCTTTTTCAGATTAGTCTCAAAGACCTGACCAATATCATTCTGGTCTATGACCGGATGGCACTATTCCAGAATGACTAAGCGCTAAGCCGGACCTGAGCTGTACATCTTAAACACAAATATCTTTTTTATACTACTATTTATTTGGCTTTAAAAAATGGTCTCTTAAAAAATAGAAATTAGAGTACTTTAAATATATGTTTATCATTATTGAATAATTACACCAAAAACATACTTAGTTTTGGTCCAAGCAGTCCAAACTTGACCACAACTTAAGTTGAAGATCGGACCTACCGGTATTGTTCATTCCGATTTTTTTGTCTAAATGAGACTGGGATGTCAACCTTTAGAATAAGATATATAGATAATTTTCCACTCCAGTGCATCGCTTTGTTTTCCACTATATGCATATGTATATAGGCTACATTATGAGCCCAAATCTTTATTCCACTGACAAAGGAATTTGATTCCACTTCAAAAAGCAACTGCACTAAAATAATGTAAAGTGACAAATGAATCACACTCTTGCATGATAATAGTTTGAAACAGAAAAAAAGAAAGTGTATCCAAGGCTCACTGAGTAGCATTCTCAGTTCTCAAAGAAGAGGATTGAGGAAGGGGAGAAAAGAAGAAGCTTATTTATGCTAAGAATGAATTAACTAAACAGATGGGGACTTGAAACTGAAATCCGCCATCCACAGAACTCAACAATGTTGTCTGTCATCTTACTATTATTATGTAGTGGTTCTTCTGTTTGGTTCAAAAACATATTTGATCAGTGACTCTTTAATTGAAAGCAACTCAGGGAACTCTTTCTTCAACTTTGAAGCATCCATCTCGTTGTTACTCCGGGCTGCAACGATCACCTTTGCCTGCTCTTCCAGAGTGAAGTTGCTCCATTTGAAATCTGGATCAATGTACTTCTTGTACATCTCCAGAATCTCATTATGGCTGACAACCCCAGGGTTGGTGAAGTTCCATATTCCTCTGAGGTTGCGCTTCGCCATCTCTATGGAAATCGGAAGCAACTCATCCAAAACAGTCATGCTGTTGGGAATATTTACCACCTTGTTATAACGGGAGATCTTCGTGATGAAGTTGCGAGGATTGTTTAGATCTGAAGATATCGGCATGCGAACTCTGAGTGTGCAAACATTTTCATACTCTTTTAGGAGCTCCTCAACCTGGTCCAACAAAAACAAAATGAAATTACTATCTTTGCTCATATAGATGACTTAGGATTCCATCATATCATCTAACCAAAAGAATGTTTTTAGAATTGAATTTGAGCAATAATAGTACAGTATATAACTAGAATCATATGTAAAGCACCTACTACATACATACCATGGCCTTGGTCTTTGAATAGAAAGAACCAGCAAAGTTTGGTGTGTCTTCCTCCTTAAACCCAACCCCAGAACCTTCAGGGTGAGCAGCATCATACTCAAATATGCAACCAGTTGCAAAGTTCATCATCAAGAGACCATTCTCCCTGCACACATCTGCTAAAGTCAGTGTCCCCACCACGTTGGTCCGGATTGTCTCAGTCTTATGACTTTCACACCAGTCAACGTTTGGTCTCCCAGTAACCCCAGCAGCATTGAACACATGGGTGGGCCTCACTGACTGAATGTCAGCCAAAAGCTGTGACCTGAACTCCAATCTTCCCCTGCCATATTCATAGCAGATCCCTTCTTTCTCACAGAGCTTCCCAAGAAGACCTCCCAGCCACCCAGTTCTGCCATAGATCAAGAACTTATAAGCTCGTGCCTCGTTTGGGTTGGACTTATTCTCATCACCATCAAGGGTCCTTTCTATTTCAATAGGCAACATGAGCATTCTGGGATGGGGAAGCAAAGCGCCAGAGACATCCCCCCACCAGTCAGGGTTCTGTGTGTACCATTCTATAGTCTTCTTCAAACCATCCTCCCAAACAGTCCTTTCTGACCACCCCAGATTTTTCAGCTTCTCATCATCAAGAAAGTATCTCTGATCATTAAAGGGTCTGTTCTCTACAAACTCAATGCTCTTCTCCCCATCCATCTTGAAAAGCCTGCATATGTCATTCGCCACGTCAATCACCCTCCTCTCCTTCTTCGTCCCTATGTTGTAGACATGGCCCACCTCCCCCTTGTGAAGGATGACATCGAAAGCCTCGGCCACGTCCTCACAGTAGAGGTAACTCCGTACGTTGGCTCCGTCCCCGTGGATGGGGAGAGTCTTTCCCTGCATTGCTAAGAGGATGAACTTTGGGATCAACTTTTCCGGGTACTGGTTCGGGCCGTACACATTGTTGCCACGTGTCGTTATGACGGGCAGCCCGTATGACCTGCCATAAGCCATGACCAGCATCTCAGCGCCCGCTTTCGTGGCGGAGTACGGGTTGGTCGGGAGGAGCTGTGAGGCTTCATGGTTCCCGACCACCGCATCCTCGTCGGTCTCGCCGTAGACCTCATCGGTGCTGACGTGGATGAACCTGGTGATCTGGCCGGTAACCTTGCACGCCTCGAGGAGGACGTGGGTGCCGTAGATGTTGTTCTTGGTGAACTCGAAGGAGTTGCCGAAGGAGTTGTCGACGTGGGTCTGGGCGGCAAAGTGCATGATGGTGTCGATGGACTCGGTGATGAGGAGGTGGTTGACCAGGTCGGCGCTGGCGATGTCGCCTTTGACGAATTTGAAGTTGGGGGAGGCGCGGGAGGGGTGGAGGTTCTTGAGGCTAGAGCAGTAGTCGAGCTTGTCGAGGACGATGATCTTGTAGTCGGGGTAACTCCGGATGAGGCGGTTGGCGACGTGGGAGGCGATGAATCCGGCTGCTCCGGTGATCAGAATATTCTTTGGGGTATATGTTGTCGTCATCTTCTCAGGTACCTACCTAGCTTGCTAGGCTAGGATAAAGTTGCATGGCACGATATAGATCAGCGTATATGGTGAAAGACTAATTTAGAGTCACTTTGATACGGAGTAGTACTCAAATTGGGAAATTGGGTGAATGAGTCAATTCGATAGTACTCAATTTGATACTCAATTTGATAGTACTCAATTCATCAATGTAATAGGGATGAAATTATAGCTCAAAAGACTAGATTAATTGGCAAATTCCCGGAGTATCATTTTTTCATTTAAATCATATAATGACAGACCCTGTTTAGATATACTTTTATAATTTTGAATAAGAAAATGGATACACGGGTTTAGATTTACAATGGGAAAACTGTGAATTTGGTCTTCGAAGTATCACGAAAATGTCAATTATGTTTTCATTCTTTTAAAAAATCATTCAAATCACTGAACTTTGAAAAAACATTCAATTTTAATTAATTAGCAGGTTGTCTGACATGTCACCAGGCCATCTATCGACGTGGCACACACGCGTGACGTGACAACCCTATCAACAGTGATTTTGCTAATGTGACGCACACAAGGAAGCTCAGTCATCCATTTCTTGATACCGCGACACACATGTGGAGTGTCATGTGTGCGCCACGTCAGTGGGTGACCTTCTCACATGGCAGATTGGCAGGTAACCCGCTAATCGAGTCAATTGAAGGTTTTTTCAAAGTTCTAGGATTTGATTGATATTTTTAAATATTAGGACTTAATTGACGTTTTCATGACAGTTTTTTCAAAAATAGTTTATCTTTTACATGTTTTATGTTATGCAGTTTTCAACCCATGTCTTTTTAACATACACTACGTTTATTCTTTAGATTACATGTTTAATGATTGTGATTTTTTAATATCTTTTCTTAGATTGTAAAATGGATTTTAATAATAGAAGTATTTTAAATATCTTATTGTTTGAAGGCTATATAAATAAGCATAGGAAATTTATCGCAATATTACCAAAATATGATTAAATTTTTTGATTGGACAGAATATGATTAAAAGTCACTAATGGTGACTAGCATAACCGAAAAATAAGTAAGAGAAACTTCCATCTAACGTATAGGTATATGGAGTGTGAGTAGCATTTTATTCTGGCATCAAACTAGGAAAAAATTAAATGACTAGGTCTTTGGAAGTAGATGATGTTTTAGTTATATTTTCATCATATGTTGTATGTTTGTTATTAAAAAATTGATTTTTAGCTCAATGTGTACAAAAGTGTTTTTCTACGTTAGTAATTTGTGCTTCATTAATTAATAATTAAAACTACTTTAGACTCTAAAACAATACGTTATATTATGTATCTTTATTAGTTATTAATGTGCGTCAAATTATTTCCTCCAAAGAAAAGAAACTGATATTTCACCAGAATAGATATCGTGTGTGAAAAAGGAAAATAGTTAAGTCCCAAAAAGTGATTTTTTTTAATCAAAATTGGCAATAAGTAAAAAAGTTAATTAGAATTTTTGAAAAGTAATTCGATCAACTGGGTTTTCAAAATCGACATGATTATCTTCAAAATATGCATAATCATTCGATTCATTCCTTATAGTGTTGACATGCATATTGCTAACAACGGGTTTGCGCACATCCATTATCAAGCATGCATCCTAGCTATCATCATGATTTTGTCCAAATTATGATCGAGATCTTTTCATTGAGAAAAAAGGTAGAGTTTAACATTGAAATCTAAAATGTTTTATCATATTGAAGCAATATAATGATCGGGAACAAATAAAGATATACATGAATCATGATTCATGAACCATGAAAGCAAATTTAAGTATAAGACAAGGGAAACAAATTAAATAGTTTGAGTAATTACTTACAGGATGATTACGTTCCGTCAATACGGATCAAGATTAGCAACCCATGCGTGTAGAAAAAAAAATCAAGAGAAAATTTATAGCTATCAAAAGAGAAAGCGATGAGAAGAAAAAACTTTATAAGAATAATGTGAGACAAATAGTAAAAATGGATGAGTAATAAGGAGCTAGGAACAAGGAAAGACCACCAAATGTTTCATCGTGTTAATACAGATGCATATGCGCCTTGAAACTAGGAAATATAACCATCACCCATTTTTCATGCAAATCATTTGTTGAAATAAATTTCTACTCACACCCCGAAATATCATTGTTTTGACGATTTTATCCGATATTATAAAATGGACCACCAGTTTACTTAAAAATGCAAGATCGCGCTTCCTATGGATTTATTGCACTATTAGTCCCGTTACGTGAGCTGAAACCCGCTTCCGATGGATTTTTTTTATAATTTTCCAAATTATAAAAAAATATTTAAATATTTAAAATATATTTTATTTATAAAGAAAGAAATAGATATATGAAAATAGGTAAATAGTCTTTTGTATTAACTTTGACCTTATTTTTGTTATTACAAAATTTAACGTGCAAAGTTAAAAGATATATATTTAACATAAAAGTTTGATTGGTAAGACTGATAGATAAAAAAGGATGACACTCCAACCCTAAGGGTCCCCCAACACTGACCGGACGGCACGATGGGACGATGTAAATTGGACTATAATCAACGCAGATATATGTTCATCAATAGACATTACATGTTCCGTATTGCGTAGTATTTGTTTATCAAGAAAATCTCTATTTTCAATGTGAAGGATGTGGAGTTTTGACCATGAGGCGATGATCTCACCCCAGGAGGCTCAAATATTGAGTTTATTAATGATATTATCAATAACCATATATAGCATCCAACTATAAGTTTATTAATGAAATTATATCTAGAGTTTTAAGGACCAGTTTGATAACTTTTTATCAGCAGTCTTATAAGTTATAACGGTGTACCATACGTAGCTCAACTGGTAGCGAGAGAGTGTCACAAGTGAGTACTACACATGTAATACTACCATGTGTTGAAAATATATATATCTTGTCTCAGTTTTGTTTTCTTTTGATTTTGGTAAATAGTTTTGTACATGTCAATTGTCCCAAATTAACAGTTATCCACGTTGATTGTTTGGTCACATACTCACATGTAGTGCATCAATGATCAATCGAGTATGTTGTCATCCAATTCAACAGAGTTTAACTATTAAAATAACTATCATATACGAAGTAATAACTTTGAGCAATCCCATGACAAAATTCCCTTATTACATTTTTTAATCACGAAAACTAGGTTTTCTGTTGATATACTACCTCCGTCCCGGTGGACTATGCCAAGTACAAAGTAGGTGAGAAATAAGAATAGTAAAAACTGCGTGATTAAGATTTGTGCAGATGAGAGAGAAATGTGCAGAACCACAAATTAGTCGCTTTAATAGGAAAATGACAAAGTTTTTTTAGATAACCAAAAAGGGAAAATTAGCAAAGTCCAATGGGACGGAGGGAATATTTGTTTCAGACTGGATTCGTATACAGTAATAATAAATTACACTTGTGGTAATTTCTATTGATGAACAATTATGTTGAATCTCCCTTGACAAAATTCCCTTATTACACGGGTTTTTAAGCTATCATTGCACTTCAAGCTTCAATTACAAGGGGAAAATAAGACCTTTTGAAGGTGACAAACGGAGGTAAACTAATGGTGTAGTTCAGCCAAACAATTTACATGAACTAACCTCACCTTGAAATTATGTTAGTATTTGACATTACCCCTTGTTCATTACAACCATTCTTAGCGTACACAAAATTTGTACACACTTGGCACACTATCCTATCAACACAGACAATTGCCAAAAAATTCCTTGTCTACAGAGATAATTAGGGGGCGTACATATTGTGTGCATATTTTACACTTATATGCGTACACAGAAAATTACTTTTTTTTCTAAACGAGATGTTGAAGTGTGCCAAGTGTGTATAGATTATGTGTACTTTTCTGTTCATTATACTTTACACCCCATTATCTACCTTGGTACTTGATAGTTGTTTACTTGTTTTGCATGCAAAGTAAAATACGAGTAGAATAAAGCACAAGATACAACGTCAAATGTTAGGATAAACTTGCAGAACAAATACAAAACTTCCCTATAAAAAATAATAATCCAATTTGCTGTGCGCGTATGTAGTTCACTATCAATGTCAGCTAACATTACTTTCAAGAAGAATGTCCAGAGTTGGACATTCTTACTTGGTGGAAAGCAGGTGGGATGGTAACTAATTGAGTTAATGATCAAAAGTAATGTTTCATCATTCCAAGACAGCCTTTTGTCATAGAGAGTGCAGAAGATTCAAAACTTCTCTCCTTCCAGGCATGCTTGGAATGGCCCCCTTGACTTGAACACATAGAGATGCTGCTGCTGCTGCAAAAGCCAGGCATTCCTTTTTGGATTTTCCTTCCACAAGTGCCACTGCAAAAGCAGCAGTAAAAGTGTCCCCTGCCCCAGTTGTATCAATGACTTTCTCAGCTTTAACTATGGGCTGTATAATTGGTTCTTCCTCTCCCTTACAAAAAAGAGCTGATCCTTTGTCCCCGAGTTTTACCAGAACTTGGTTAACGCCCTGTAACAAAAAGGAGACATACTTTGTAATCCAATATGACTAAAAGGCACAAGAACTAAAACTTGTAAATATCTCCAGCCACAATTTGTGGGGAAAGGGTAAGCCCTTTTAGGAAATGGACATAGGGGGTCAAGACTTCAACAATTTGGCCATAAAGCACTTGGGTTAAGCCAAAATAAAACATTGAATCTAATCAAATATGTACTGAGCTAGTTCAATCCAAAGCCTACTCTTCGTATTCTTTTTAAATGCTGGATGTGACATTCTAACAGAGAAGATTCACACTAATGTGCATTAAACAATTATTATAAAGTAGAGCCCTAATTATTTCACTCTGATATTCACAAGAAAATGAAATATTGTTTTCAATACCAACAACTATAACAATAAAAGATTGTAACATTCAAAAAAAGTTGTACTGTAAATAAGGTTTGGTCTTGGTTTTAAAAAGAGCGCTTCGGGCACGCAAAGGTGCAAAGTGAACCCAAGCAATAAGGAAATCGCAACGAACACTCCCGGGCACAGCAGATTCTTGTAGGCGGCCACCTCCTGCACATCTAAGATGGTTGCCGACTCATATAGAGTTTTGGCGATTCATATCGCTAGTCAGGGAGTGACTTTTGGCGATTCATATGCCTAGTCTAGACTCTAGAATATGCGTGCATGTTACATATTAGTGGAGTACTACTCCCACACTCTCAATCTCTCAACTCTTCTTCACTATTGAACTCTTCCCCTCCTCTCTATTCTTCTGCTCCTCTTCTGTTCACATAATTGCAGCCTCGCAGGTATGTTAAGTTTTTCTTCTCCTTTTCATCCTTCTTACCTTCTTCTCTTAATCTCTTCTTCTTCTCTTTGTATTTTCCTTTGCATATCTCTCTGCCTTTTTGTACTCCCCTGCATTACAATAGTTTCAACTAGGCCTTTTTCTGGTGTGCAAGACTCTTTTTCTGCTCCTCATTCTGGTTTGACACCATTTAACAGGTTCAAAGTAGAATAGAAATATAGAAAAGGAAAAAGGGTCAAATAGACCCTTCAACTATCAGGAATCGATCACATGACTACATGAGCCTATCTCCTATTTTCTCATCAACTCCCAACTCCCATAATGGGTTGTACAAAAAAGAGATTGTCAATTGAGAGATGTAGTATTACTTTCAAGTTTCAACTTTTCAAAAAATGTACTCTATAATGGCTTGTACAAAGAGTCCAATAAAGATGTAGTAATTTTTCTTCTAGCAATTCCCCTAGAGTTTTAAATCTCAATTGAGAGATTGAAAAAATGTATGTAAAAGATTGAAATTGATATAACTTGCCCGCTGCCTTCACATAGGAAGATGCCTTACAGATTGGAACACATTCTTTTGACAAACTTCTTCAATTGTTTCATCAAGAATATTACACATAAGTTTTCATCTTTTAAACTTCAGAACATCAACGTACTTAACGAACATTGAACACTTAGGAGAACTAGCTAAAAATTTAATGATCTCTTTTTGGAAAATGGTATTATGCTACCCATAAGATAGTAATGAGCAACCTTATAATCTCATACTCTTTTATGTTCATCAACTTGGGTATTCTTCACTTTCTTTTTAATCTCATGCTACGTGGTTTCAACCTAGGATCAAATTATCCAACCAATTCAATCGTAATTTCAAAACTATCATAATTTGCAATATAAAAAGGAATAGCTACATCAAAAAACCACCTAGTTTTTTCTTCACATACCATGTCCTTTAAATCTTTTTTGCAAACTTCACTGATCTTCCAGTCTTTCTTCCCTTTAAGGCTTTAAGCACATCTTTTGATTTAGGTCTAAGGAAAAGATCAATCGGAACATTTTGTCTTGGTTTAGCGGGTGGCAAGTTGCTTATTAGATCAACACAAACATCTTTTGCATCCCCATCATAGTCTTCAAGTTGAATAATTTTTTGAAATAACTAACTTTCTTCCTTAGATGTTTGCTTTTCAAACATAAAAGACTTCACTTCCTTCGAATATGCTCGAGTCATTAAGAGCATTTTATAACCTTTTTAAAGCTCAAATTAAGTGTTGTTTCAAATGATATGCCCTTTCCTTAGTTATAGAAACAATCAACTGATAGAGGGATATATCATTTGAAATAGCACTTGGTAGGGGCTGTAGGAACGTCATAAAATACCCTCTATGTCCTAAACATGTTCGGGAAGAAGTGAAGTCTTTTATGTTGAAAAAAATAAGTTGTTAATGAAGAAAATGAGTTGCTCCCAGAATGACAAAAGTTGATCAATACAATGGGGACACATAAGATGATTGTGTTGATCTAACAAGTAAGTTACCACCATCTAAAAGATCAAGGCAAAAGGGTCTGATTGACCTTTCTTTTATATCTAAACCTGAAAATGTGTTTTAAGGGAAGAAAGACAAGAAGCTAATGAATCTTGCAAAAAGAAATCAAAGGGTATGGTATGTGGACTGTGGAGAAATAGCTAGGTGATTTTTGCGATGCAACTAATCCCTTTTTTGCTGCAAATTTTGATAGTTTTAAAATTATAATGAATCAATTGGTTAACTTTGATAGTTTAAAGTAATTTCCACCTAGCATGTTTGAATTAAATGTTCCTTTTGAAAAATGAGGTGGAGGATACCCAAACAATTTTGGATGAAGGTATAGTGATAGCACTGCATAAAAAGAAATCATTATTTTTTAATTAATTCTCCTAAGGGTTCATTGCTTTTTAGTCCATGGATGTATCTGAAGTGTCAAAACATACAAATCTTATGTTAAATATTCTTGATAAAATGGTTAAAGAGTTGGTGAAGAGAACATGATACAAGTTGTAACTAATAACACATTTATTCATGTGAAGGAATGGAAGTTATAGCAATTCAAATTTGTTTACATATAGTTTTTCAATCTATCTGAATAGAAGCCATAGTTTACATATAGAGAAATTGCTAGAAGCGAAACGATCATATTTTTATTGGACATCATGTATAACCAATTGCATTGGGAAGATTTTTAGAATTCACAATGCTCTGAAAAAAGCAATTTTTTGAGTGGTTATATTCATACCTATGTTAGTCTTGTGAACATGATGAGGAGATTCACAGGTCAAAGCAAGTTACATAGGCCTAGCATCACGCGATTCACTACTTCTTTTACCAATACTTCATAATTTCACAAGCAAAAGAACTGCTTGAGGAAGTTAGTGACCTCTAAAGTTTGGAGGTCTAGCAAATGATCAAAGAAAGAAGCAAAAACGAAAAGTTGTGTCATAATTCTAGAAAATGCTTTTTATGATTTGAAGTTGGTGAGTCCACTTGTAAAAGTGTTTCGGATCGTTGATGGGGAAACAAAGCCGCTCGTGGGATGTGTGCGTGTGTGTGTATGAAGCGATGGATATGGCTAAGGAGGCCATTGCAAAAATCATTCGAGTAAAAGAAGAAATTTATAGGAAAACATTCGAAATAATTGATGAGGGATGGCAATGGTAATTGCATAGGCCATTGCATGCCCCAAGACATTACTTGAACTCGAAACTCTTCTACTGCAACTCACAACACATAATTGGTGATGAACGACTTGTATACTTGTATTTACAGATTTGTTTATGGTGCTGAAGAGCAAGATAAAGTTATTGATAAGTTGGATGCATGTTCGAAAGCATATGGCTTATCCAGAAGCCATTAGGCAAGTAAAAAAAAAATGTCCTAGTATTTACTAAAAATTAAAATTCTTTCTATTCGAATTTGTAATTCTAAATTTATAAATTCGAATGATTCTCAAACTACTTTTTTTAAAATTCTCAAAAATCTAATATTGGCGATAGGTGGAACTCTTTTAGATCGTACACTCCTAACTTGAAAAAGTTTGTTATTCGAGTCCTTACCCTTACTTGCAGTCAACGCTTGTGAAAGAACTTAGGATGTTTTTCAGCATGCGAGTTTTAATTTGTAGATAATGAATCATAGTTACTAATTTTCAAATATTTTCAATTTGAAAATTTGAATTATATATTTTTTGACATGTAGCAGCTTCATATTAAGAAGAAAAATCATCATCATCACCCCAGTGCCGCAAAGGCTCCCACCTACGGTGGGGTAAGGGGGGTCGCAAAGACTGTTTCCGAATGACCCATAAGAAGATAAATCAATTCGCACAAAATCATTTTAACTACTTAGTTTTTGTGAACTATATAGTCGTGATTTGTGATTTGAAAAGGCGGTATGAAAGGATAGACATCACCAATCGCATTCTGTTGAAAGAGATTAATAAAAGCAATGAGTAGTTGATTTGAACTCACTACTTGCTCGCTAGTTTGCTACTTATCTTTTTAATTACATTATGAACTTTTATGATTGAATCTTGTGAGTGGCTTTTGGTGTTTAATATGGTTTTTGCACTGTTTGAACATAATTCTTTCACTCGTGACTAATTACTGTGTGGCGCGCGCCTCCGTCTCACATAAATTGAACCAGAATGCCTCAATCCGCCCCGTGCCTTTTAAAACTGAGGGTTTGGTGGTCTAATCACCTCTTTTTTATCATTATATTATTATCAAGCTATCACTTCTAATAGGGCCAATAATAAAGTTGGTTTATGTTGAAGTTTGAACTTGTCCAAACAATATTAGACTTATTCTTTGTTTATTTGTAATTTTTGTATTAGACATAAATGCGCGCCATAATCTCGTGAAAGTAGCATACATGTCTAAATATTCAGGCTGCATGACAACAGTGACATTTGCGCTTTTGGTCCTTTTGCATTTAAACTTGTACAAAGCATTTTGCATGTAATCTAGATAGTGCAAAATACTATCATATTAAAAAGCATTGTATATTGGGCATGTAAAATCATGTTGGACTTTGTAGTCATCCATGAGAAAAATTAGAAAGAATAAGGAGTTAATAAGATTGTAGGTTGAACTAGCTAGAATGTTGAATTCAATCTTTTAGTGTAGTTTGGTCCAAGTGCCTTATGACCCAGCTGAGTGGCCTCAAATCCTCAACTCAATCATCATTTCCACCTGACATATTAAACTAGGGATTGTCCTCTTATAAGTGTAAAAGCTAGATAATAGAAGTGGTCAAATTAACAGATGAGAACCAGCCAACCATGGAAATGTCACCACCATAGTCAGGATCAATAGTAGGATTAAATCCAATATATTAGAGTTTTTACACTAAGCTCATCATGCTATAGCAAACACAAGAACATAACAGAAAAAAAACAATCCTGCAGACTGACTTTGTATGAAGTATAGACATTAATAAAGGTGATTAATTAAAAGATGAAGACAGGTGTATAAACTAACCAGTTCATGGCATTTCTGTACAGCTTGTTTGATTTGTTCAAAGTTTTTCGTTGGCATTTCCGTTAACCGAGCAAGCTCAGTTTCATTTGGGCTGAAAATATCAACAGCATGTAAAAGTTCTGAATGGATTGGAGCATCCACACCACCAGCATCCAGAATAATTGGAACACCAGCACTCCTAGCAACCTGTCATCAATCAAAGACATGAATAGTCTGTAGTTGTTTAAAGTAACAAGTCTATAGCCAGTCATTTCCCTTTCTGCTTCAATTCCTATGTTAGCAAAAGTCTAAGTAGCACACAAACCCAAAAGAAAAAATGATAAATGGGAAACAGTATTATAAAAATATAAGGAAAACGAAGTGTAGTGATACACGTAAATATAGAAAAAGAGAGATATTGCTAGTTTGTTACAAATACTCTTTTAGTATACATGCACACATCATTTTTCATATAAATTTTCCTATATAATAAAATATAATAATATTCTACATTTTAAATATAGACAATGTTCACATATTTGTGCATAATCAAATATTTCAATATATACATTCGTGATATAGTTCAGGATTGAGTTAGACCAACAAAATACTTGAGCCAAATCATATTAAAAGATTCCGTCCAATCTTTTAACTAGTTCAACCTAATGTCTTATAAAGTCATCATTCTCTATTTTTTTTTTAATGTGAGACTAACATTCTACATACACTGTGAATAAGTCTTGGATTGAAAAAGTCTTATTTTTTTCAATTGTACTTTTGGATTTAACCGCCGTAACCTGTCAAGAGGACTACTTTGCTATCACTAAATCTCATAAAATCCATGAAAACATACATTTAAAGATGCTAATTTTCATCATGAAATCACATCTATCTAAAACAAATAACAAAAGACTCAACATTTCCTAAAGACTAATTAATTAAAGAAAAGGGTCTCCCAGTTTTTCTGAAACAATGAAAGAAGACTTTGAAGTTTGGAGTTTTTGTTCCAGGTTACAGGAACTGGAAAATGTGAGCTTTATGTAGTTCCCATGGTTCTTGGGTTGGGTGGGGGAAGGTAAAGTCTTTCAAAGAACTGACCTTTGCTACTTGAATGTTAACAGATTCAGGAATTTCTCGCTGGAGGAGGAGAATCCCAGCATTCCTCACCACCTCCAAATCCTCATCGGGAATCGTCTTTGGCCAAGAAGACATGTTGGTACCACCAACGATGATGATTGAATTCTGGCCGTTCCCTTGGAGCATCACCACAGCGTGGCCAGTGGGTACATCCGCCACCGCCCTGAGGTGATCGACAAACACGCCACCGCCCTCAAGTGCCTCGCAAATCAACTTCCCATGAGCATCTTCACCCACCTGACCTATAAAATAGGTCGGATATTCTAACTTCCCGCCACAAACAGCCTGGTTAGCCCCCTTCCCACCAGCCAATGTCTGCCCGCTCTTGGCTGAGATGGTCTCCCCTTCCTGCGGCAGCCTGTCAATCTCCACATAGATGTCTGCATTGGCTGATCCAACCACCACCAATGGTTTCTTCTCTATGGGTGGCTCGGATTTCACTGAAAGGCAGCAAATTGACAACTTCTTATTATGTTTTCTTGACGAGGGATTAGGTTTGATGAATTTGAACTGGACAGAAACTTTTCTGAGATCTGTGGAGACGTTGATTGTTGTTGGGTGCCAGTGTTGAGATTGAGAAACGGTTGAAATCCCTCTCATCTTCTCTGTTTATTTTATACTTTTTGCTCTGCTCTTCTCTTCTTTGTGCCTCTCCCTCTCCGGCTCTCCCTGCTCCTGGAGTGACAGTCATTTAAGGAGTCATCGTGTTTTTCGGATTAGATAAAGCTTCAGCACTTTTTGGTTTTTGCTGCACTTGCATGCTATGGCGGACAAATTATACTTGGGCTCATGTTTTAAAAGAAATGAATGTTAGTACGCGTATATTAAATTATATACGGACATATTTTCATCAATATACAGTTCAATGAATAAGTTACTCCCTAATTTGTACTACTTCCGTCCCATTTTGTGTGTCTCCTTTGATTTTGACACAATTTTTAAAAAAAGGTTGAAAAGTTAAAAGTTGTAATTGAGATTTGAGTATAGTAAAGTGGAATGTTGCAAACCACATACTACGTATTTCTTTTCAAAAAAGGAAAGGTGACACTTATTTTGGGACAACCCAAAAAAGAAAGTAAGACATGTAAAATGAGACGGAGGGAGAAGCATATATATTACGTATAGATCACGATACTTAACTGAATGCTTCTAATACTTAGAGAGCAGACATTTATCAAACCAAATCAGACCATACCAGTTGAAATCAGATCTGATCAAACTTAAACAGATCAGACTAAATTACATCAGCAAATTTCCGTCCAAAAGAAAACATCTTAACCTTCAAGATCTCCTGTTTCAAAGTTCTAGCTCCAAATAAATTTGGAAGTTTTGGAAGATTATGATAGAATCAGAAAAATTAATATGACAATTAGGAGGATATTAATAGACCTTTTTATTAGTAGTTTTGAATTCTAAAATTAGATTAAATCAAATTTAAATACATTAAATTAGAACAGTCCTAAAATTATTAAATAGAACATATTAGGTGTGACACCCCGCCCCGTAGAGCCCAGTGTAGTTACTTGGGTCCTCTAGTACTGTTCTCACAAACCAAGCACAAACTTTTACCACACATTTTGTGCTCACTTGTGCGCGCCCTGAGAAACTTCTCAGATTACTCATCCCAAGATTACTCATGTGCAAACGCACTTAACTTGTTTGCACATTTTGTGCTCACTTTGTTTGCACATTTTGTGTTCACCTTGTTAGCATAAGTAGTACACACTTTGTTCTCACTCGTGTGCGCCCTGAGAAACTTCTCAAGAGATCACCAGTCATGAGACTACTCCTTTGAAAGCACGCTTAACTTTGAGTTCTTAGTTGATGAGCTCTCTTAAAAAAGATGCATCTTGTTTATATGAGTAGTACTATTAATCCTTTTAAATTAATTAGGGAAATTTGTAAAATTAGTCCCGTAACTTTTAGTGGTGCCCGATATTGGTCGTCTAAGTTCATTTACTTGCATAATACGTCCTCTAATTAACATATTTGTCCAATTTCAGGACATTTATGTCGGAAAGTAATAATTCCGTCGGAAATTGACACATCAGCGCCACTTGTTCATATTTTTTCATATGGCCTAGCTGACCAGGACTTGAGACCCTGTTTTTGGTTCCCTCCCAAACACTCCTTATTTTAAAACATCCTGCACATAAAGAAAACACTCTCTGATTCATAAAACAAAAAAAATAGCTAGATTAAACTGAATACGGAGTAGTAGATTATACATCTTCAATTTATTTCTTATAAATTCCAAATATGAAATTGTAAAAATGAACATAAAGAAAAAACTGCACTTCAGGCTATTTTTTTTTTAAAATTCTTGACACTTATCAATTTTAAAAGCCTCCATTTGTAACCATAGAAACGGTCCAAGTAAAAGACAACTCGTTAGTTTTGCTAATCAACTATTATTCTTGTTCCAATGTCTTGTTAGAACCTTTAACATTAGAATTTTTTTTCTCTTATATCAAAGTAATACTACATATAAAATATTTAATTTTTTTCAAGCAAAATTCGAAACCTACAAAATTAAAAAGTTTAGAGTTCTTACTCTGTTTCTGGAGCACACATGGAACCTCCTTCCCTCGTCATATATCAGTCTATGAAGTTAAAACACCGGCCTTCTTACCACAATGATATTCCATAGATCCTTGCCTGAGCCATTATTTGCACTTTAGAGGAACACACACTCACCTTCCTTCCATATGTGGAGAAGCCGGATCAAGAATTACGAAGCCTCCGTTCTTCTCTTAGGTTTTGTGCTTTTATTGTTCTAATGGGGATTTGGGAGATCATAGCACAATGAAGTGTTTGGGAATAAGTCATAAAAGGGGCTCACATCCAAGTCAGCTGCAAACGTTAGGAAAAAATTACAACAACGGGAGATTGACATGTAACTTTCCGGCCAAAATTTAACTTTCCGACGGCAATGTCCTCAAATTGAACAAATATATTAGTTGAAGGAGGTATTTTGCAAGTATGTAAAGTTACAGGATCAATATCGGCTATTAGCCAAAGTTACAGGACTCTTTTAACACATTTCCCAATTAATTACAAGTATTGCATTAGGTCAGACTCATATAAGATGAAATAGTTAAATGTAAGGATGTTTTCTTTTGGATTGAAATTTGTTGGTCTGGTCTGGTCTGGTAAACATCTGGTCTCTTTGTATTTATAACTACGGAAGTCAAGTCTGATCTGGTTTGGTCTGGTTTGGTCTGATCTGGTCTGGTCTGATCTGGTCTAGTCTGATCTGGTCGGGACTGAAAACAATCGAAAAGAAAACATCCTAAGTACATTAGGTAAACTAGACCCAATATGGACAAAGTGTATAAGTGAAGGGTTTGAAAATTTCCAACTAACCTAAAGAAAGTTCATATTTGTAATAACAGTTTGTTTACCACCCTTCCAAAATACTTCTACTCCGATTGATAGGAAATTATTATGAATAAATAATTGGATGTTGACTTTCTACTATCGACACATTGAACAAAACCTGAAGATGTTTATGACATCATGACAATCATTCTTTTTCAATTTAGGCTTCTACATTATAAAAATAATTTTTTATTATAACGGCTAGTGTTTACTCGCGCAAGGCGCGAGATTGTTTGCCCAATTTTAAACTAATGTTTTATGTAAAGAACAATTGCATTTGTAATTGTTATGGGATCTTTGTAAATAATTTATGGAATATCGTATACGTTTTAATAATTGTTTGATCAATTATATTTCTTTCATGTGCCGCATGACTAAGTTCAGCAACTCACCTGAATTCCAAAGTTTACCACTTTGGTAACTTATCATGAATTGCATAATTTACTAATATGTAAAGTGCGTGTGAGAACATCTAAAAGTTGCCCGACAAATAAAACAGTACAATAATTGCGTAACAATGAGATAAAAATGAATTTCAAAATGAGAAGTCGGGGTTTGGGGTTCATACTCGAAATACAGTATACATATATTGAGAAACTACTTATTAATCCATAACAAATAAAACAAAAAGTAGCTAATTGAATCATAAGAGTTAAAATCGTGGATTTCATGAAACTCCTTTAGTTTTCATTCACGGAAAGTATACTACTATGTGACCCATTTGAACACTCAATAACATCTTCATAGTGATTATATCATGTAAAGATAAAGGGAGTTTAAGTATTGCCTCACGCATATGGAAAACTAGTATGAGTGACATAATATGAAACATGAATCAACATCAAATGGTAGCCTCAACTCACAAACCAAAATAGAACCCAAACACTCCCAGCCAAAACAACGACTAACAAAAGAAAATCAGAAATCATTCGTGGAGTTAGGATAGAGACTAAACAAGATCATGTACACTACCACTTTGATTTTAAAGAGAACCTCATGGGGTGAGAATCTGATGTGTTCAAAGTAAAAAGCATTTCGAGCACGCCAAAGTGTGTATATCGTGCAACAGAAGGCTATCAGACCAGCCTTATTGCGTATCCTTACTCCCCCATGCTCCCTCTGTATCCATTTAATTGAGCTTGCAATGGATGACATGTTTCTTCTAACGCCCAGCCACCTTTTGACGTCCATCCATATAGTTGCAGAGAACATATAGGTGAAAAAAAGGTGCGCCACAGACTCAGGTTGATGCTGGCAAAAACAACAAGTGTTATCCAGATTAAAAAAAGCCAGGTCATCCAAGGTAGAAATCTTGTTCCGGAATACTAGCCATGTGATGAAGGAGAACTTAGGAGGGATATAGCTCTTCCATACTATTGGCACCCAAGTCCGTTTAGGCGCTGCCCCCCTCAAAATGTCATAAACCATGGCCGACTTCAGTTTACCAGAAATGCAGATTTTTCCCAAACCTGCAATTGTGTTGTTATGCCCTTGGAAATGGTTTACAAGTAGAGTTTTGATTGTTGACAATTTTGTCATCAACTGGGAGTCTCTACTATGGGCATCCACCTCCCAAATACACCTCCCTTTAAGGTAAACGACATGTACAAAGCGAATCAGCTTTCCGGTGTATGTCCCAAAGGGTTTTTGATAAGAGTGCCATATTCCAGATCCTAGAATCCCTTAAACCGATTCCACCTTTAGATTTCGGTAGACAGATATCTGCCTAAGCAACATTAGCTCTGCCCCCACCCCAGAGGAATATCCTGCACAGGGCTACAATACGTTTGTGTACCGTTATAAGTACTGAGAAAGCTTGTAGCAAGAAAGATTGCACTCCCTGCAAAATGGACCTAATGAGCTCCACCCTACCCGCGTAACATAGGGTTTTCAGTCCCCACATGTTAATATATTCAGTAAAAGACTCCAAAAGTGGACCATATTAGGCCACTGATAACTTCAGAGGTGTCAAAGGAATTCCGATGTATCTAATTGGAAAGCTTCCTTCATTAAAATCAACCAAATTGAGTAACTGAGTAAGTTCCTGTCCCAAGACTCCTGCGATAAAGATGTCAGATTTCTGCGGGTTAACAGTTAACCCTGATGTCATAGAGAATTCATCTAGCCCGTCCACCATGACTTTGATAGATTTCAGATCCCCTCTCGAAAACAACATCAAGTCGTCAGCGTAGGCAAGGTGTGTAATTTCAAGTGAGGCACACTGCGGGTGAAACTTAAAACCAGATTCCCTAGTTCTCGGCTTAAGTAACCTGGAAAAATACTCCAAACAAATAACAAATAGGGATGGGGACAAGGGGTCTCCCTGCCGGAGTCCTCTTCTACCTTTTAAAAAACCATGTAGAGACCCATTTAGAGCAATCGAGAAGGTTGTTGAAGTCACACACTCCATAGTCCAGCCCACAAACTTATACG